TATCATACTCTCTACATAGCAACATGCCATCTTAAAATGATGTTCAGACATCTTAGATAGAAAAGAAATATAGTCCTACTGATTTGTGCAATCAACATTATGACTGGAAAACAAGGTTTGACATGCATGTTCATAGTCACATTTCGTTGTGTCACCATCGTATTCAGCCGGGTTTTTCCCATATCTCCAGTCTATGACAATTGGTCCCATTGTTTTTCATGGTTAAAATCATGTGGTGTTTAACCTGAAAACCCTTTGCAGTGAGTCTAAACTGACGGTTTCTGTAAGTTCGGATCACGCTGTCTATCTCACCAATCGTAGTTCAGTTTGCCACACACACCCTAATGTGACCTGGTTGATTTTCGTCTGGCCTTTCGCACGAACTTTTGATTTCGTTGTCCAGGTAACTATTGGCGACTGGTAATTCATAATCTTATCAGCAATACATGACAAATATCACAGTGAACAAGCATTGAAGCTGATACACCCTTGGGAGAATCGTAATGGCATAGAACAAAGCAAACGTTCAGTAAGTACTGCGGCTGCTTTAAACCCACGCATGAAGATGTGCAAAGCGATTACTCTGCTTGACACGATAACAAATCATCACTATCTGGTAGTTAGGTAGTATATGTACACTACCTAGATAATTTCAAAACGCAAACGGTAAGTATGAACTTTTTATTCATTGGGGGAATCCGTGAGCGTTGGGGCCAATTTAAAACATCATGATTCAGTCGGTTAAGACATACAGAACTCTGTGAATGCAGAAGGACATCCTCCGCTCAAGTAAGACGCACATTGAAATCTTTCATAGTCCATGGTCTTTCCTCGATATCATACGTCATCACTCGGCCAAATCTAAGCTAGATGTCATGTTTTTTCTCAGCCTTGATTGTTTATCAAGGAACTGAGCTTACTGAAGCTGTCAAATCAGACCATGGCAAACCACCCAAGATGAATCGGAAAGGGATGAATTGGGATTTTCTCAAGTTTATCCAGTGAAAGTATCGAATCAGACCGTAGTCTCAAAGATTTCTACTCGCAACTCATGACACATTTGGTTTTGAACAATAGCAACACCCGAGACAGTTAGAATTGATCTATGGTAACTTAAGCAGCATGCCCATCGCTCCAACTTCTATGTTCAACGAAAGATTACGTCACGTGCAAGCATGACACCGATAATAACCCATTATCAGTTACGTACCCCAGTGGCTGCATGAACTGTGACCTCCGCATGACTTACTAATCAAAGTCATGAATCCCCTGCCTCTGTGTACCCCTTCCCTTAAACATAATTCCCTTGAACCGTGTCGCGTTTATAGTTGATCAGCACCTGCACGTGCTTGTTTCTCATGAGTATGAATGGGGATGTTGAAAAATTAAATCATTGGAAAGCTTTTTCGCATACGTTTAGCGTTACCATCAAAGCCAAAGGATTGTTCCGGGATCTGGGAAATTTTTGTCGAGCAATTAGCAATTCGTACGGTGGCCAAAGTTTGTGCAAAAGCACACATGAACACGCTTGAATGATTGAATGGTTTTCAGGAAATCGGAAGGCAGAACAAAACCAGTAACCAGCAGGATAGTACAAGGTTGAGCCAAAATACTATGCAAATCGAACACGGAAGGGATAGAATGTGAAATGACATAATAGGAGGATGCGCCACACTGATCACGTGAGCAAGTGTGCGAGCACACAAAATACACGAGCTAGTCTAATGAACAACTAATCAGAAGACAAGTACTTGAGGTTCTGAGTCTGACTGAACTATTGTATGTTCGGATGTGTGTGCCTGTGTGTGCGAGACGGCGGTGAGACAAGGATCTGCTGGGCACACGCAGGAGTAACGTGCTCCGGCAAAATAGGCGAACACGAAAACTGATCAAGGGGGAAAATGGTGCATACAGCACTAAAAAAATATGCAACTGTAGGTCTTAAAATCAGCTACGAAGACGATAGAATTGGAATAGAATCTCCAGCATTGATTGAAATATTCCCGTGAACGAAATCCAATGAAATTCTATCCTACAATTAGATGAATGTTGCACCATCAGACTCATTCAAAACCCTTAACCCCAGAAGTCACACTGGATATTACCGTCAATCTCGTTTAACCGGTGAAGTTGGATATGCACACTTCTATTACTACCTTCAGAGAACGAAAGTATTTCAAAAGAATGTCAGGTGGTTGAAGAACCTTTCCTGAACAAGTAACACTTGTAGGCGACAACGTTGGTCCCACAGCGTAGAAAGCCAAGTTTGTTTCACGGAGCATCAGTGCAAACCATGCTGAAATTGAACTAACCACGTTACATTCAGCTAAGCTTCCATAAAGCTCGTGATAACCTGCTCTATCATTACGATTTTATCTGTTTTTTTAGGAATGACAAATGATAACAATCATTAGATTTTAAGGATGGATGATTAAAGTTTGTGAGTAACTGGATAAATTGGGGTCTTCTCTTAGGGGGTTCCAGATACTGAACTATAACTTTTGTGCAGATCAAATTGTCCGGGTATCAATTCAAGCTCTTTCATCATCAGTTCACGTTATCTGAAAGTTATTTCAAATTCCTCCCGTTAACCTTAACAGAGCTGCTTCACTGCGTTAGAAATAAACCATAAAGATGAATACATATAATATTTGTCAAGAGGTCAAAATTACCAATGTGAATTTTTTTCCAGGAACCCAGCGATGTGTATCACCTTCAAATTATGTTTGACTGAGTGCCAGGTGTAATGTAATCAAAAGCTTTTGCCCTATGGTGAAGAGATGGAGAGATAAGTTTTCTGGTTCCAGAGTGTTCATTTAAAATCAAGATGTCATATAACCCGCGTGGGTGGGGGAAACTGATGAATGCGATTTGTTTCCGAAATTACTGAACTGCATGAGAAAACGCATGACCCAAATGCTTAAAAATAAAAGACGGCGTACAGGGTAATGACAAAATGAATGTGCAATATCTGTGTCATGCTTATGAGTCATTTTTAAAAGTAAATGCTTGAGATATTTATATGCTGAGGTTTTGCCGTCCCACAACTGAGGCGACACCAACCGTCATCAAAATCCAGAACTTGCACTTTTATGAACTATTCGATCACCAGTAGCAAAAGCATAATTGGATACTATTACACGAGTCTTGTGTCTGGTGTGTTATTATTTTCCCTTAAACAAACAAGCTTTGGGGAAATAAAATAGCTCGTTCTGTCCAAAAGTCACACACGTACACACATAACTTTACGTGAACTAACTGCATAAAAACGTATACGACAAAAAATTTCAGATAAAATCAATTGGTCAGAACGCGATGATCAGACCGACGTGTTGAGGTATGTGAATCTCTCACAGAACTGTACAGAGTTGGCAAATTGATTTACTCTTCTTTTAAGACGGAATTTAATGTACTGAGATGAACACAGTCAGAATTTGTTTTATTCACCCTCTCCTGACTATCCATAGCTGCTCCACTTTGTGCAATATTCACGCATTCACCCGCTCTGCAATAGATTCTAAAATCATTGCGTATGCACACAGACGCGGGTACACTCAGAGACACACTACTGACCGTACGCTACTAGGCCATATTGTATTGTATACATTGTCTGCGACTTTAAAATTAAAAAAACTTTACAGATTCTTTCCCGGTTCTCCATGGGATTATGTGCATGCCAATGTTTGCATGAATGTTGACGCGCATTTTACGAGAACAAACAATGTTTAATTGAGCACACACACAATTTCTCCAAGCCTGAGTTGCGAAAACACCTGAATACCAACGCGTTGGCAAGATCTCTTATGGGATGATAGTGAACTCTTTAAATCAGAGAGAGAAAGATCACAGTATCGGTCAAGGTCACAAGTGATATAAGGCATTAACATTTCTGTATGTGCCGCTTGAAATCGATCACGTATGAAAGTATCCATTGGTGAGCTACCAGTCAATCACTTGAGATCGATCGATTTCACAGAAGAAATTGAAGCTGTCCCGCGACACATCAAGTGAAAACACAGAAGCGAAAATAAACAATCCCTCCACAGCGATAAATGTGACTGCATCGACGTCTGCAGTATTTGTTCACCTTATGTTTTTCTTGATACCACGTTTGGAAGACATGAGTTATTCAATCAACTATCAGAAGACCGAAGAAAAACTGAATTACTACCCCCTCCCTTACGTTTTCCGCCACAGCATTATTTTCAACCTTCAGTTTTGTTGCCACTCTGAGTTTGCACATTACACGACAAGACGCTTTGAAATTAATAACTCAGGAGAATTCATCATTGCGATTGTATTTTCAATTTATAAGTTGATATGAACACAGTTGATGTTAGCACATTCTCCCCCAACACGTTACTTTGGATAGAAATTTGGTCAATCTATTTTCTGGATGAAATCGTACCCAAGCTGCCTGCTCTCGGTTTACTGCAACATCCCCTAGTGTCTTCGACCAACCCGTTCAGTCTTTTGGGCCCTGACCTAGAAGATAGAAGGACTCTTCTTTACGTAATATCTGTGTGCAGTTCCCCAACGTCTTCTCCGCGTCGCTTGCTGACATTCTGGTGATATTTTTACTCCATATCAGCACCTAAGAAGTGGACTTGGTGCAGTAAACTTTTAAATTTCAAAGTTTCACATCGAGGACAACTATGTTTCAGTCAATCATGCACCATTCAGGCATTGGACATGGATGGATTCGCTTCATAATTTAAGCACCTGACTACTTAGGGACAGTGGTTAATCTCAGTTGAGCTGCTGATCATAGAGCTTCATAGTAGAGGCAATGTACATCTAGCAACGCTATGCTGTGAAGCTGCAAAGCGGGAAAGAAAGAAGTAACAGAAGCCATTAGTCATTCAAGTGCGCTGCATGTAGTCTTCATGCTTTCAGAAAGCAAGATGACGTTGCGCTCAATGATACCGGGTTCCTTCGGGTGTTTTTTTGATACCAAGGTAACGGAGGCCACCTGTTGAATGATTTTCAAATCGTCCATTATGACTGGATGGTAAGTGGGATGGGTTGTCCTCTTTCGTATTTAATCAACACAGTTTTGAATTACAGCATGCGCGAAAAAGTTTTTTGGATGGTATAATCATGAAGGACTATACGAAATTCCGAATGGATTATTTCGATTAACCACTATTAACTAAATGTTCTGCATCGTTAACGAATGATTCAACTTACTGAGACTTTGGTCCCATCCGATTTGACATCAGAGTCCAGGGATATAGGCTGCTATCACTTCACTTCGAAGACCGTGTTTTCAACTATCACGAGTGTTATTCAACCTTCGTATTCTTTATTAAACCTTAGATTGGCTACACCCCCATTCTGATGATTTATTTGTATCGTTACAAAACCACTATCACTTCTTTAGTTTCTCCAAATAAATAACAATAATCCGTGACTAAGTTCTGCATCAAGTAAGCCCTTAGACATTCTCTACGTCCCAGTCAGCAAAATGAACTTTGGGGAGTTATAGTCATGTTCATCTGCCGGTGTTTTGACTCACAAGAACCGATCAGTTGGTTTTGGGTTCCACGAAAATCAATGGCATTTATCTATGTATGTGTCAATGTTCGTTCCATCAGATAACTGTGACAGAAAACATCAGAGGTTTTGTACTTCTGTACGAGTACATTCGTTCACGTATTCATAGACGCAAGTCTGTAACTCGAGTAACAGAATAAATAACTACGGTTGTCTACGTACGTGTGGCAGCGACGCAGTATCCATCAGTAAAGATCTTGATACTCGGGCTACTCTGCGGAAGAGATACATGGAGATGGAGTGGGGAAAACGTCAACCGAACAAAGTGAAAAATAGTTAAACTGCTTGAACAACTCCGTGATTTTTGGTACTGTTTTCGGATACAGTACTTACGTGGGATTGCATTCATATTGGAAAGTTCATCGTCGAACTCCATCTTTTCTGTCGAGATCAATAAACCTGTTAGTTTATAGGAAATTGGATTAAAATGCTGCGCAAAAACGTGCGTAGACACACATTTAAACAAAGAGGAAAGAATCATGAAATCTTTCGTTGTTCTGATTAAAACGGTATGATACTTGTCAAATTCAGATTTAGGTGTTGCCGGTTTTAGGTACAAAAGCCATACGGCACAAGTCATCGCAACTCCGCTTTTCATATATTTCAACGAAATTGGGGATAACTGTTCAATCAGCACAGCTTTCTATTGTTCAGTCTCTATATTACTGTTGAAAACAATTTACTATATCACCCTGAAAACGAGCAATAAACAAAGATAATGGAGTTTAGGGTTTGTTTTATTTTTTGTTCAAAACAAATCATAAGCCGCGGAGATTTCAAGGAATTTGGTGGATAAAAAAATTGTACATTTCGGTTCAACGATGGGTGAAACTGTCTCATAGACAACACGGTTCGTGTATCATCTTTGTCAGCACATGCCTTGGTTTATCTACCACTGCCTTTGCACCAAACGGTTAGGCGGGTTTGTGTGGGTTGGTGAACATCTCAAAAGAACACGTTTTGGTTATATGCTTTTGTGGTGATTCAACCCAATTTTTATGCATTTGTAATTGTGAGCGGTTTTTGAATTCAGCTTGGCCTGATTGCAGCATAAATATTAGGAATCGGGATAGGAGCACGCTGTACTCGGCACTCACACAGGCGTTTTTCACATATCGCTGCCACGGCTGTTCAGAAAGACAATCCTCGAATAGTGCATTCGAAAAAACCCAACAAATGAAAAATGCGTGATCCATTCAAAAAACTATTGATGACAATTCGCAAATCTCGGTTGTCAAATCTACCTGATTAGCATTCTATATCCGTAAACAATCGATTTTCTAACCGCAGATCAAATAGGTAAATTAAATTGAAAAAAACATGATTGCCAATAAGTACTATTTTACAAATAATTTCTTCTCTAACGGATAGAATTTTATAAATATTTACAAAAGTATTATGTTTATGAAATGTTTTAATTTATATCTGCGATTGAATTAATGTATAAAGTGTTTTGATTTCATATATTTTGTAAATGCAGGTTAGTGTTACTAGGATTTAATTATGCAGTTTGTTACACAATGGATTAAATGGGTGGACAGTCATTGCTTCAGATTTTACTAAGTGGTTTTTTATGAATAGTCCTTGTTATGAAGGGAAAAGCACCTGATTCCAAAACATCTGAAATCACAAGGTAAACCATATTGGCTCGTTATTCCTTCATCGGTTTACCTGATAATTCATATTAAAACTCCAGTAGCTTGAAGTAGAAAGTTTGTGCGATCAGGCACGATTCTTTTGACGATGAGCCAGAAAGAATGGGTACAAACTGCNTCCGCGCAACTGTTCGATGCACAAGCTCCAGTTTCATCCACCCACTTGCGAGTAATATATGTTCAGTTTCGTTTCTCTAATGGTTATTCGGATTGGAAAACGGAAGACGTGACCACCATACATTCATTGTAGTGTATTGCAATAATCTGATTGCGCATAAACGAACCGCGTTCCAGCCATGAGAAGAAAATCGTAGACAGCCACAGTGAACGTTAAAACCATTCAAATCATCAATAACATTTCAGGTTTCAAATTTTGTTAAACTTTCTCTCAGAAAGGTATGATGATGGGATATATCTGCAAGAGGAGGATACATAAGTAGTATATACGAGTTTTATGAGAGAAAAAAATTGATAATGCTGATTAAATGACCTTCCAAAAGATCAGCACGGACAGATTGATCTGGGTCACACAGTACCCTCACAAAGAATAAACAACAGAATATTTGATGGAATAATGGTAACATGACTCAGAGCAGCTAGACTATGACAGACGTTTAGGCGGACCAGGGAATTGCATGGGCAGAATAATATCAAATACACAAAATAACAGAATGCACATGATCGTTTGACCAGCCCCAAGTCACTTTAACTGACAAAATTGTTTGTATACGCCGTTTTCAATGTATTCCGTCTACTGAAGCTGTGTTGATGGGTGACACCCACGTATTGTGCGTTGTCTACTCTGAATGGTGAATAAGTACGCAGTGTTGGAATTAGTAAGTGTGTCCGTTAGAAATGTATTCCAGATGTGTGTTAGGATTTTGCGAGAGTGCTCTATAATTGGAACAGTCACGAAATTGTGAGATTTGCAAGAGATGAGAAATGAACTGTAATATAACAGCGTATACCCAAAGCCCTAATTTCATTTTTTATTAAAACGTCGACAGTCTCGTGGTCTTCCCTTTGTACTTACATATCCATAATCTACGATACAGATAAATAACATAACCAATTTTGTATAGACTGCTGAACAACTGGCAAGAAACTATAAAGGTTTCATTACATAGCATCGCTTAACCACCGCCAAGGTACTTTGATCACATTGCTCGACACAAAGCGGGTGACCAAAGGGATCACATTAAAAGAAATCATCTGTCATGTTTCTATAATGATACCCCAAATAGTCAGGCTCACCGATATAGCCAATTATATCTATGAGAGAATATAATTCACACACTACTGTTTTTCTCTATTTTCAATGTGACGTTCTATGGATTGCATTTGTCAACTGGAACACAGATCAAGCAGTCAGCCTTATGGATAACACATCACCTCCGGGCCCCACTTTGTACCGGACCTCTGAATGCACCATCGTAAGTGTGTGTGTGCGCGCGCGAACGGTTGAGATATTTTACTAGGAAAACGACTAGTTTGACTCTATTTACTTGATGAGTGATTTCGAAAAAGGCCTTTGTTTTTCCGAGCATAGGTATCATTTGTTTACATCTTTCTCAATATCTTTCTTTTATCGTAGCCCTTTCATGACCGCTTTGATTGACTGTCTTACAACATATAATCAGGTTGTGAAATTTTCCAATCGAGTCATAAAACTGGAAGCCCGTGCTGATATTCGCGAGGTGGTATGCTCGAAATAATCACGCAAAGACATCTTGTGCTATATTGTGTTTATCTAAAATGAAGAATGGTTTGATCGGCAACTTGGTGGTTGAGCGAGTAGTAGTATTCTCATATGCGAACGATGAGGTTCCAGGTTCGATCCGTAGGTAGATCAAAGCATTTCACTGCCGATGAAACCCAACTAATTCAAAACAGCTGTCCAGAGCTTCCACGTTTTTTGGTTCAAGCTTCATTTACACAATGAATTCATCATATAATCAAATGAAATCCTCCCCTACTGTCATTGAACGCTTTCTTCGTTCCGAAATTGAATGGTACAACGGTACCTTAATGGGGGGAAATTAGAAGATTATAACAGTAAAATGGTGAGGAAATATGAAACAAGCCGAAAGTTATCAATTAAACCTACGGTCGAAAAATCCGTAGTTTAATATAAATAACAATCCTAATGTTTTGCAGCCTATTGGTCACTCTCCCAACACACTACCAAACACTGATGAATACTGATGATCACCGATTATGGAGGTTAATTATTGAAGTTATTCAAGAATAATCCGTCTTAATAAAGTTCAAACATATGACACAATAACGGAATCTGAATAGAGAAGTCAGAAACATGGGTTTGCACAATGTATCCATGGTCATTTCGCTGCATATGTACCCGTGCATACTGCAGTCAAAGTCATTTTATATAGTCAGTGAGATAACCACC